ACACACAAAAATAATAATAATTAATAATAATAATAATAATGATAATAATAATAATAATAATAATAATAAAATAAGCCACATTACAGATGTTTCATAACTTCAAAAGTCTTGTGATTAATTCGTTTACTAGTTACAACAACAGTAATTACCGCTGAGAGAGCTCTGGTGCTGTAGTCTTCAGAGAGTTGCACTGCTGACTCAATTCAATTCCATCATCAGCTCTATGGGAAAAGAAACATGTGCTGTTGCCACCTACAGCCCTGGAAACCCATCAGAGGGATTGATATGGGTCAGAACCAATTCACTGGCAGTGAGGTTTTGAGTTTTGAATTTTTATATTTCCTATACAACAAGAAGGGAAAATTATCAATACATAATTTCATCTTTCTTGATGAGTGGTCTCTTCCTTCTTTCTTTTTTAAATGTGTATTTGCATATCCTTTACAACCACTGTTGAGAAGTAAATACAGAGATCGTGTCCGTCCCTTTTTCCTACCACTCACCCTTCTCTTAGAATAGCTCATTTGCTATATCTGTCTACCTTGCTTTCATTTTTACTTGACATTTTTTTTTAGTTGCTGTGTTTATTGTACATTTTGACCCTCAAGAGTTTATTAGGAATATTTTCAGGCATACAGCAAATGTTTTCATTTATTCATCACCTAGAATAGTGAGCTGGTGCCTCAGTGGTAAGAGACTCCACGCAGTCCCAGAGACATGCAGAGTGAGGCCACCAGCCCCTCTGTGGGAAAAGGATGGACAGTTTCCTGTCCAGTAATTTACTGACTCTGAAAACCTGCTGGAGTTAACTGGCAGTCAGTTCTGACCCGTCAGCACAATAACAACCAGCACAGTAATATAGTACAGAGCTCTGGTGACTTGACGGTAAGGAGTTGCACTGTCAACCTGAAGAAAAGCAGTTCAAATCCATTAGCTCCATAGGAGAAAATAAAAACAGGCTGTCTCCTCCCATAACGTTTTATATCCTCTGAAAACCTGCTGAAGGCCCAACCACAAGTTGACTCCAGCTTGATAGCACATAAAAACAACTAATAGTACATACAGTAAAATGTTCATGTTGCTTCCACCAATTTTACTCTATTTGGTTTATGGAATTTATGCTACCTTTATATTCCAGATGTATTTCAAAGTAATACTGGCAAAGTCTTAAAATGTTCCAATTGTTACAATTATGTGAAATTTGTTTTCTGAAAAATGTGCACAGAAATCAATGTAATTTAAATCTGAGAACACTAGAAAACAGTTTATAAAATTTTTTTCTTCTCCCTTTTAATAAGAAAATGTAAGATAATTAAGGGACTTCACTTTTACAAAGGGAGGAAGTTAACTGAAGGATCTGAGGGATTCCCAGAACACAGTTGTCAACAAGTCCTTCTCTGAAGTGTCCGCTAGCTTATTGACCACAAAATTTATAAGTATACTGAGGTTCAGTGCATTTCATGGGATTAAATAAGGGCTTTCTTATTCCTAACAATAAGGGGATATGGGAGAAGTCAGTAACTAAACACCAAATAAAATCAGTTTTTACTTCTTTAGATGGTTTAGGGGTAGAAAATTTCAGTCAGAGGTAACAGCTAGAGCAGAAATTGTTGTTGTTGTTATGTGTCATCGAGCTGCTTTCAGCTTTTAGTGACCTTATGTACAGTGTCCTTGTACCCTACTCTATCCTGTGCCAATCTTATTGTCTCTTAACACATCTACCCCCATTATCACAGTCACTGAATCGATCCATCTCATTGAGAGTTTTCCTCTCTTGCATTGTCCCTCCACTTTCCCAAGCATGACATCCCTCTCCAAGGACTGTTCCCTGCTTGCAACATGTCCAAAGTATGTCACATGAAGCTTCAGAATCCTTGTCTTCAAGGAGCAGCCTGGTTTCACCCTTTTCAGGACGAACCTGTTTGTTCTCTTAGCAGTCCATGGTTTATTCAGTACTCTTCTCCAGCACCACAGCTCAAAAGCATCACCCACAGCGTCCCTTTTCAGAGGAAGTAGCTAAGAGAATACGCCATCCCCTTTTCCTTATGACTCAGGGTGAAGTCTCTCTCAGGGAGGAGTGATAGGGAATGGCAAAGGACACACTGACAAAGAAGATTAATCAGAACTGGCTTTGACAAGCACTGTGGCATTTGGACAAGAACAAACTGGGAGGAGGGTAGAGAGAATAGTGCAACAATGAATGAATGGAAACCCAAAATCTCTGTAAATGTTTATGAAAATTAATAAAATATAGAAAAAAAAAGCATTAATTCTCCTAGCTTGCTTTGAGAACAGAATGAAAACTGGTATAGGGTAAGATAGTAGGAGGTGAAACTGAAAAACTAAGATTACTTCTGATTAAGAAACTTTGAATTTTACTTGATACGTAAACAAACTGTATAATTTTGACCACCGTAGGTCATGTTGCAGTTTACATGTTTTTCCCCTTGACTTTGTATGGTGAATGGATTTTGGATGGGCACAATTACAAACTTGAAAATAATGACTATCATTATTAACTACTGAAGTAGTTCAAAGGAGAAATAATAGTAACTTAGAGTGGGAGTGGGAGATGACATGGATGGAACCAGGATATGTCTTTCTATAGTGCCAGCAGTGCTTGTGAGAAAAGAGAGACATTAAAAATGAATTCAGGTTTCCATGCTGAGCAGCTAGATCATTCCATAAACTTAAGTTTGCCTTAAACTAAGGAGCCTAAAAGGAATTAATTATTCCTTTACTTGAGTATTCAGCTGTGAGGGACCGCTCAAGAGTACTAAAAAGCAGTGACATCAGGCTGGAGACTAAGGTGTGCCTGATCCAGGCTGTGGTCTTTGCAAGTATGTGCTATGTATCGGAGAGTTGGATAGTGAATAGGGATGATAGAAAGAGAATTGATGCCTTTGAGCTGTGGTGCTGGAGTAGAGTGTTGAATATACCATGGACTGCTAGAGAACAAACAGGTTTGTCCTAGAGAGGGTGAAGCCAGAATGCTCCTTGGAGTCAAGGATTCTGAAGCATCGTCTGACATACTTTGGGCGTGTTTGTGCAAGGAGGTACTGGTCCTTGGAAAGGGACATCATGTTTGGGAGAGTGGAGGGGCGGCGAAGGAGAGGAAGACCCTCGATGAGATGGATCGATTCTGTGAGTGGAGTAGTGGGAATGAGTGTGTTTGAGATGGCGAGGTTGGCACAGGATAGAATGGCATTTAGGGCTCTTGTACATAGGGTTGCTATGAGTCACAAGTGACTCGATGGCACATAACAACAACTTGATTATTCACAGTATTCTGTGACTTTTTTTTAGGTCAGGTCAGAGATCATATTACCAGCACTCACTTGACAGGAGTCCCTAATTTTCTTTGCAAAAGAGAAAGACCTTCATTGTCTTATTGTATACTGATTCAGAGCTGACTTTCCAGCTTTTGGGTTTTCAGAGTCAATAAATCACATGGGAGGAGAATGCCCACTTTTCTCCGTTGGAGTAACTGATGGATTTGAATCACCTCTCTTTGGGTTGGCAGCACAACCACTTACTACTGTGCCAACGAGAGATCTTAGTAGAACTTTTATATACCTTTTTTTCCTGATTTCCAGCTAAACTTTGATAAAAAGAAGTATTGTTACTTAAAATTGTTCTTAAAAACTTTTGTCATCCCTTCTACCAAATTACTTGGACTCCACCAGAGAATGTATTTTCAAAACACTGTTTCTTAGGTTTATTAATGTGCTGTCACTCTGGTTATTTATGTTTACAAGACTATATTGTTTCCAAATGTTACATTTGATTCTTTGTAGTTTACAGTTGTGATGGTATAAACTTCAGTACACTGAATAAAGGAAATTCCTTTTTCAGCTATTAGTAACTGAGTTTGCTTGAAAAGATATTAAAAAATTCTTTATATTCATTGTGATTCTTTAGGACTTTATAAATAGAAATGTTTCTATTAATAGAAGTATTTAATAATTTAGGGTTTTTTTTGTAGTGATAATTAACTTCACATGCAAGAGTTATATATTTTAGGAACATTTTAATTATCTGTTTTCCAGTGTCAAAGTTCGATCTGCTGCTGCCACCTGTTTGAAAAGCATTTTAGCCACAAAGACTGGGCATAGTTTCTGGGAAATTTATAAGATGACTACTGACCCTATGCTCACCTATCTACGGACTTTTAGAACATCGAGGAAAAAGGTATTTCTTGAACGGGCTACTGAATTTACAATACCTGTAGTGTCACAGGGGCACACATACCAAATGGCTTAATATCCTATTATACTAATATTTAACTCTATCCTGAAAGAATTTCAACTTTACCTGTTGAATCTAAGTGATTTATTAATTTTAGTTTTGGCCATGTGGAAAAGCTGAGATAATGTAGAGAAGTAAAAGTTGGTTTTAGCAGGGTTTTTTTTAAAAATTATTATTACATGAATGTTGTGTTTTTACAGTCTTTATTTACATGTGTTTCATGCAATCATTTTTATACATTGCATTTTATAAAATTGATTACTATTCAGCTGTTCCTATTATTATCCCCTCTTTTCACGTCCCTGTTGAATCTTACCTGTTCCTTCACTCCCACTCCCACCCACCCCCTAAACTCTGCTGTCCTAATGATCGCCCTCCTTCCCCTTTTTCTATCCCTTTCTTCTTTCCCATTCCCTTTTTAGACTTTTGTCTACATATTAGTAGTTATCCTTCTGTTTTTACAATAGTGGTCTTATGTAGTATTTGCCTTTGTGGGACTGGGTTAATTCACTCAATGTAATGCTCTCTAGAGTCTCCCATGTTATTTAATATTTTACAAAATAATTTTTCATTGGTGCTACATTGTATTCCATTGTGTGAATGTACCACAGTTTCTTAAACCATTTGTTTGTTGATGGGCTATTGGGCTGTTTCCATTTTCTTGCTACATGAATAACACTGCTATGTGTACCTAGTTTCATTCATTTCTCAGTTCTGTTTTTCTTTGGATATGTTTCTAGCAATAGATGAGCTGAATCATATGGATTTCTGTGTTCAGCTTTTTGAGGACACACCAAACTGTCTTCAGAATGATTGTTGTCTTTTACAATCCCACCAGCAGTACATGAAAGTTCCAATTTTTCTATTCTCTCCAACCATTATTACTTGTTGTCCTGTTAAACTCTGCTACTGCCACTGGGGTGAGATGTTAGCTCATTGTGGTTTTGATTTGCATCTTTTTTAGTGCCAGAGTTTTTTAGGATTTCATCAAGTGTCTGTTGGCCATCCGAATGTTTTCCTTTATAAAGAATCTTTTCATATCTTTGGGCCCATTTTATTTCTTTGGTTATGTCTTTTTGCATTGGAGGCCCTTTAGTAAACTGTATACTTTAATTATGAGACCTTTGTCTGAGAAACCATTGCCAAATGCTTGTTCTCAGTCACTAGGTTTTCTTTTTACCCTGTTGGAAAAAGTTTTTGATGTACACACAGGGTCTTAATTTTTTTAAGATCTTATTCATCAGTTTTATCCTCTTCTGGTTCTTCATTTTAGCTTACTTTTAGTGAAAGACTTCTCACCTTTCACCCTTATTAATATTAAGAATAAAAAAGCCCTTTGATCCCATGAAATCGATTGATCCTGAGTATAGTTATAAATTTTGTGTTTAATAAGCAATATTTACTTCCATTAGGGAGCTTGTTATGATGCCAAAGGCATGTGGTTTGAGGCCACCAGGTGCTGTACGGGAGAAAGATGGGCAGTCTCCTCTCGTGAGATTAACTGCCTCTGAAAACCCGCCAGAGGGTCAGCTGTGGGTCAGTTCCAACTCTATGTACACAACAACAACAGTGATATTAGGTGATAACTTACAGGTTTCTTCCTTTTTCATGTTGTTGCATAATGAAATTATAAAGTTCTGCTGAAAGTACTCTTGCAAGTGATGTTTAAGAACTCTTCATTCTTTTTTACCCTGAGCATTCTTCTTTAATGTTTTCTTTACAGACAGAAAGTTACTGAGAATTGTGTAGCTGACTTTTCATCAATTTAATTTCAGGCCAGATAGATACCAGTCATTGAAGTTGTATCTTTAATGTATCATATACAAACTCTTGCAGCTCAAGTGGCCTAGTGGGTAAGGAGTTGTATTTCCAACTCCAAGGCTAGATTCAAATCCACTACCTGCTCCATGGGGAGAAAAGTGTGCATTTACCTCCTGTACAGTTTACAGCCTTTGAAAACCTACTGGAGGGTCAGCTAAGGGTTAATTCTGACTTGATGGAACAAAACAAAATGCAAACTATTAATGAAACTAGACGTAAACTAAAGGCACTAGAGTTTTAATATTTTAAGTGTTTAATGTTTTGATCTCAAGAAATTGTGTGTGATAACTGGACTGGTGTTTTAGATGAGGCATAGGAGTGATTGGGTGATTGGCTTATTATATTCCTACTGATGTCAGAACTAGAAAGTAGCACTCAAGCTTCCTGATAGGATATTTTCCACCTTATCATTCTGTTTCTGATATGAATAAAAACACATTTTGATTTGAAAAGGTAACTCCAAATTTAGTTTTAACTGCATTTAGGTTTGTTTGAAAGCAGATTTGTGTATATCTAGCTATTCATTTTGTATAGAAGAGGTAAAATATATTTCTAATGATCTTATTTCCATTTTCTGACCACTTTCTAGTTTTTGGAAGTACCCAGACTTGACAAAGAAAATCCTTTAGAAGACCTGGATGATACGAGTTTGTGGATTCCTCAAAGTGAAAATCATGATGTTTGGATAAAAACACTGACTTGTGCATTTTTGGATAGCGGAGGCATTAAAAGTGAAGTTCTTCAGTTATTAAAACCAATGTGTGAAGTAAGAAGATTTAGAATCAGTCTGGCTTTGGTCCCTTTTTACCCTGGCTTTAAAGAGTTTTGTTTTTCTATTCCATTCAGCTGCAGTGTGTCCACTGGCTTATTGTATAGAAAGAGTGCTTAGCACTGCACATCATCTTCATATCACATCACCCATGCCCAGCTGCTGGCAAGCATTCACACAATGTATCTTTATTTAACTTTTATTTTATGCAATAGATTTTAGATTTGGAGTAGAAACATAATGGATGAGTTATTTTTAAAGACACAAGTACAGTGCATTCCAGTGCAGAGTAAATACAGTTACCAAACCAAATAGGGAGTTTCTTTTTCCAAATGTCATTGGAACATCACTATGTAATGATGCTCTAAGAGAATCCTATAGAAATAGGCAAATTCACAATGAGCAAAATAGAAATGATTATTTGGTGATTTATTTTTATTGGCCTTAAAAAAAAGCAACCATTTTCTGTAGTAAAGGAATAATGGTGCCTGACTCATCATATTTCCTAGTGCATTTGTACTAAGCCAGGAAAGTGATTCTTGGAACCACCATTAATTTCTCCTTAATGAACAAACCTAAGATTTTTATAAAGGTGTGACTTTTAGCCAGAACTGAAGATACCCCAAGTATGTGTACATACACCAGTCCTACTATAAATTCTCTACTTCATGGTTCAAAATCAAGAAAGGGGTTCATCAGGGATGTATTCTGTTTCCATACCTTTTCAATCTGGGCTATACGAAGAGGAATGTGGCATCAGGATTGGTGGAAGAATCATCAACAACCTGCATTATGCAGATGACACAACCCTACTTGCTGAAACTGAGGAGGACCTGAAGCGCTTGC